ACTGAAACAGAAACTCAGCTACCATGGATTTTAGTTGGAGAAACACTGAAAAACATGGTCAAGTCCACTGTGCAGTACATCTACAAGGAAAATTTTGGTGCATTTTTTGAATGTTTGCAAGTAAGTTCTAATTTTTAAGGATGGGTGTGTAATAGGGAATCTAAGAGTTCATTGCTGTTGCTCTTGGTTTTGCAGGGCACTCCTGGAGATCATCTTTTAGCTATATTTTCTTTATCCTTCTGTACACATGCTAAGCTTTACCTTCCCTCCACCCCTGTACTATTTTTATTTGATATGATATCTTGAGATGTAGAACGTAGTGGTTAAGGAAGGTTCTGCAGCCAGACTTCCTCTGTTTGAATGTTGGCTCTATCACTTACTGCTGATGTGACTTGGGAAAGTTATTTGAAGTTTCTATTTCTCAGCCTTTTCAACTGATAAATGCGAGTAATAATATTCCTTACCTCAGGGTTGCCGTGAGGATGGTTGTAAAGAATTTGGAAAAGTGCACTCAGTAAATGTTAGCTGTTATTATCATTAGTGACTCCTGGTAAATGTGGTTTTTTCTCCCAAAGCAAAAGAAAGTGAAAAGTTGAACTGTGTCACACGATATTTTCATTATCGGATTTGATATTTTATAGTAATTCTCTCTTAAATTCTGTCTCTGCAGGAATCCCTCCTGGATCTACATACAAAAGTAACAAAAACTAACTGTTGTGAAAGTTCTGAACAGATAAAAAGGTTGTTAGAAGCATATCTGATACTCGTGAAATATGGAAATGGATCAAAGATAACCAAACCTACTGATGTCTGTAAAGTGAGTTCCCAGCTTACTATGCTTAAGAGTCTGTTTATTGAAAACTGATTGCGGGGTGGCCTTTTAGCTCAGTTAATTAGAGCACAGCCTTCTAACATCAAGGTGAAGGGTTCATATCCCCATAGTGTCTGGCTGCAATTCATCAATCAATCAGTCAATCAATTAAAAAGCTGATTGCTAAGTATGCATTGTTTTTTCTTTTATTTTTACAGGTATTGTCTCAAATGTTACAAATAGCTCATCTCTCCACATCTTGCCGGGAGACCCTCTTGGGTGTAATTTCTGCTTTGATCTTAGGTGAAAATGTTCCCTTGCCAGAGACCCTCATCAAAGAAACCATAGAAAAAGTAATTTACTTCAACAATATTAATTGAGTAGTTAACTAGTTAATACTATGTTTGGCATTGAGCAAGCCTGCTGGGGAATATAAATGAAGTGTGACAAAGGCTCTGCCCTCAAGGAATTTATAATCTTGTTAAGGAGATGTGAATTGCATGCTGTAATGGAAATAAGCAAAATGAAGTGTGGTAAAAGCTAAGTCTATACAGCAAATGTTTAATGAACATGTATAGCTTACCACGTGCTGGGTGTGGGCTAGGGTTTTCAGGGTGAACACTACGATGCCTGTGGTTTTTGATTGTTGTTTGGAAAGGGGGCCTGGGAGTGAGTAGTGATAATCTAGTGAACTAATCTATTGTAGATATATTGAGTTATAATTATTAATTCTGCTGGGGGTTGAGGAATAGAGAAAGCTTTCGAAGGACTTCTATTTGGGATAGTCCTTGAAGGTTAAATAACAGCCTGCCAGTCAGAGAAAGGGCTAGAAAACACTAGGAGAGGGAGCAACAAAGACTTGTTCATGTGAGTGTATGCAGACTGGGCACATGGACTTCGGAAGAGGTGGGATGTGATATTAGCAAAGCTCTGCTTGGCTTTGAAAAGTTAGGTCGAGTTTTATCCTGCAAGTAGTAGAAGGCCCAGAAAGAATTCTAAGCGGGGACGTGATTTGATGAGATTTTCCTTTTAGTGAGTTCAGAAGATGGATTGGAGGGAAGTGGGATTGGAAATAGATCAGTTAGGTTCTTCCTAGTTTCATGTAGTGCAGTAATACACCTTTTGGGAAGGTATAAGGTTATGCTACTTGCCCTTTTGTAATTCTCTGGAGCTGGGAAAGAGTTGTTCAGCTCCTAGGCAGAGTCAAGTAATATAGTGAGTGCCTTCTCGCCTCTGTGTAAGTTCCTTTGGAGAAGAGCCAGCATTTGAACAGAATACTGATTGAAGTGTGCCTCCATTCCCTTACTCGAGCTGCTATGTTGTTTTTGGGGTTTTATTTCTAGCTGCTTTTTGTGGGGAATGGGGAAAGTCTCTCTGTGTACGTTACATTAATAGTTTTAACTCGTCCGCAGATTTTTGAAAGCAGGTTTGAAAGACGTTTAATTTTGGATTTTTCTGAAGTCATGTTTGCTATGAAGCAGTTTGAGCAGGTAAGCAAGATATTAAGTTTTGAGTATTTTTTTTTAAATCTGTCATGATAAAATAATCAAATTTGAAACCCTGTGATTTTTTTGTTTAGTTTTTTGAGAGGATCAGAATAACTGCTTGATGTTTTAGTCAATTTTTTTTTAAAGAAATTATACTCAGTTCTAGGTTACAGGTGAAACTTTATTCCATATGCTTAGGCATTTAAAATGATACCCAGTAGCCAACTTGTTTTTTAATAATACTTTAGGTAGTTACAGAACAATGTGGTAAAATTGAAAAACCAGTTTAGAGAACTTTTATGTGAATTTGAAGCATAGAAAATAGTTTCTGAAACAGTTTGCATTGGAGGAAGGTTGTGAATTCATTTCATAGCTACAAAATAGGTACCTGGCATACATCCATTGACCAGTTTAGAGAACTTTTATGTGAATTTGAAGCATAGAAAATAGTTTCTGAAACAGTTTGCGTTGGAGGAAGGTTGTGAATTCATTTCATAGCTACAAAATAGGTACCTGGCATACATCCATTACAGAGAGCAGTTTGAGAATATTTATAAAATAACAAGTGCATTTACCCTTCGACCCAGCAATCTCATTTCTGGAAATCTGTCCTACAGATTTACCTGCACTCCTACAAAATGACATATTTATAAGGTTTTTCTTTGAAGTAAAAGACTGGAAACATTCCAAATTATCATCATTAGAGGACTAGTTAAATTTAATATGACACATCTATTCAATGTAATACCATGCAGCTATAAAAAAAGAATGAGAAAGATCTCTGTACTACTAATAAAATGTTTTAAGATATTTTAAGTGTAAGAAACCAAATTACAGAGTATATTGTATTCTACCTTTTGTATCATAAAAAAGAAAATTATCAATTAAAAAAAAAATACCTGGCAGAATGAGGTGGAAATCTTTCTTGTTAAATCCTGAGTTTGTTTTATCCCTTTTCCCTCACCATCAAACATTTGCCACTCCTTATAACTTGTAACTACAGTATACTTCATGGAAACTTATCTCTGTATCTGTCCTCTCATCTTCCCTGTAGTCTTTAATAATACGTATTCTCATAATATGTATTCTCATAATGTAATAATATATGTTCTTTCATTTGTCTCAGAGAAACACCTATTTGTACAAGTCCTAGATCTTGTTTCTTTCTGCTCAGTAAGACTCTTTATCTTACTTTGGTTTTCTTAGCAACTACATCTTTTCCTTCTCTCCTGTTCCCTTCGGCCTTTTTTTAAAAGTATTATTTTTGTAGGAGTACTATATGTATGTAGTTTTAAAAGTCAAATAAGGCTAAAAGGCAGTCATTTATTCTCTACTTCCATCTTACTCACCAGCAGCAATCACATCTAATGATTTTTAGCTATTTTTTTCTGGTATTTACTTTATATTTTTGAATCACCTGAATATACTGCTTTTCCTTGATTTGTTAGTTTTAGTTCTCATCTGCAGACTTCCTCCTCTTGTAATAGATGGGTTTTAATTCTTTTATATTCCTCATCCTCCCAATAGAGTTATATCACAAATTTTGGTTAAATCCATATTGACCACAAGCTTAATCCTTATAAACAAGGAGTATTTTATGATTATATGTACTTTTTAAAAAATGTACTCTCTTATTTTTCCTGGAGTTTATAATAGCCTCATTCTTTAAAAACTGAAAATTGTTTTCTTTGAATAACTGGTCAATGAGTCTGTCTTCTAACAGTGTTATAAATACCTTTCACATAGCAAACTGTTAGATAATTTAGCAGCTCATTGGCAGCTCAATTTTTATTTTATTTTATTTATTTTTCTTTTTTCTTGGAGACATTCTTCCTGGAGCAGTTTCAGTCTGAATGGATTGCTTTCTCAGCCCACTGCACAGATGTTATACTAGGACTTCTTTTTGCGTCTCTTCTGTATCATGAGACCCATTTTTTTTTTTCTTGTTATAGTTTTCTCTCTTATTTTGATGGAATATATTTTCCAGAGGTTCCTGAGAGGGGTGAATGGAGGTCAGATTTTGAGATTTAGTACATCTGGAAATGTCTTTATTCTCTCCTCACACTAGTCTGGGTATAGAATTTTAGATTCTAAGTCATTTTCTCTCAGAGTTTTTAAGGCATTGCTGTGTTGTCTTTAGCTTCCATTGTTCCTATAGAGAGGTTCATGATCTGTTTTTCTTTTTTCTCTCTGCAAGTACTGGAATCTTCTCTTTATTAGATATTCTGAAATTTATACCTGTTAATAAATCTGGTTTCCTTTCATTTTTTTAGCTTTTTCTACCAAGCTTTCTCTCATATGTTGACAATTGCTTCTTGATTGATGATGTTGTGGTCAAAGATGAAGCTCTGGCCATTCTGGCAAAGCTCATTCTCAACAAAGCAGCACCTCCCACTGCTGGCTCGATGGCAATTGAAAAGTACCCTCTGGTTTTCTCACAACAGACAGTGGGGTAAGTTCTAAGTCTGTTCCCTGAAATATTGGTAAAATTACCCATTAAAATACAGTGCATCAAGAATACTGTAAAAAGATGAGGCTGTATGTATAATAACTGGAAAGGTGTCCACTATAAATTGTTATGTAAGAAAAGCAGGTTGTAGAACTAACTATACACATAGCATGGTAGTATGATCCCATTTTGCAAAGTAAAAACAAAATACATATATAAGCATAGAAAGACATGTGGAAGGATACACAAACCTGTTAACTTTGTTTATACCAAGTGGGCGCTCAGGGAAAGAAAGAGGTGACTATTAAGTTTTTTAACCTTTTATTTTAAAATAAGTGTACATTGGCGTGCAGTTGCAAGACATAGTACAGAGAGGTTTCGTATACCCTTCACCTAGTTTCCCCCGTTGGTAACATCTTGCATAAGTACACTGCAGTACCACAGCCAGAAAATTGACATTGGTATAATCCACCAGCTTTATTCAGATTTCATGAGTCTTACGTGCACTTATCTGAGTATGTGTGCATATAGGTATGTATAGTTCTATGCAGTTTAATCATGTGTATAGATCCGTAACCACCATCAGAGTGAGGATGCAGAAGTGCTCCATCACCACCAGGATCCCTAACCCCTGGCACCCACTAATCTCTTCTCCATTTTTATAATTTTGTCATTTCAATAATATATAAATGGATTTATGTAGTATATTTAAGATTGGCTTTTTTTACTCAATATAATTCCCTTGAGACTCATCCAAGTTGTGTGTATCAATAGTCTATTCCTTTTTATTGCTGAGTAGTGTCCCATGGAATGGATGTAGCATAATGTGTTTCCTCATTCACTTGTTGAAGTATATTTAGATCATTTCCAGCTTTTGGCTGTTACGAATAAAGCTGTTATGAATATTCATGTTTTCATTCTCTGGATTTAATACCCAAAAATGGAATTGCTGGGTTGTGTGATAGGTACATGGTTAGTTTTATAAGAAGGGCCAAACATTTTTCCAGAGTGGCTGTGCCATTTTACATTCTTACCAGCAGTATATAAGTGATCAAATTTTTCTGTATCCTTGCTAGCTTTTGGTATTCATCACTATTTTTTTTATTTGATAGGGGTGCAATGATATCTCATTGTAGTTTTAATTTGCATTTCCCTAGTGATTAATGATGTTGCATCTTTTCATGTGCCATCTATCTTCTATTAGCAAAATATTTGTTCGTTTCTTTGGCCTGTTTTCTAACTGAATTATTTGTTTCTTTACTGTTCAGTTTTGAGAATGCTTTATATGTTCTAGGTACAAGTCCTTTTGTCAGATAAGTGATTTGCAAATATTATTTACTAATATATAGCTTATTCTTATTCTTTTAACAAAGCTTTTTTGCAGAGCAAAGTTTTAAATTTTGAAGAAGTCCAATTTATTAAATTTTTCTTTTACGGATAATCCTTTTGGTATCAAGTCTTTGCCTAGCCCTAGGTCCCAAAGATTTTCTCCCGTTATTTTTTTTTCTAAAAGTTTTGTTATTTTATGTTTTACATTTAAGTCCACAGTTTATTTCGAGTTAACTTTTGCATAAGATTTGAGGTTTAGGTCAAGTTTTTCTTCTTTTTTTTCTGTGGATGTTCACTTTTTCTGGCAACATTTGTTGAAAAGGCTATTCCGCCTTGTTAAAGTGCTTTTTGCACCTTTGTCAAAAGTCAGTTGGGCATATATGTGTGGGTCTACTTCTGGGTTCTCTGTTCTATTCCAATTTTGCACCAATCTCCAACAGGCACATTTCTTGCAAGTGGTCAGAATTCTAGGTTGTGTACAATGGGAGTGAGCTGCTTTGTTGGTTGGCTTCCATGAAGTGGAGCCAAGGGACTGTCTGAGCCTGTCAGACCTTCTAACACGGTCATCACAGTCTCAAATCCTCCTTAGAATGTGGCATGGTATAAATAAACAAATAAATGTAGGTATGTTAACTTAAGGCAGATGCCACAACTTCTGTATTTCTTTCTGTGAGAAAACATCCCTGTGTCGTCACCCCACCCCCCGCAGAGATATAAGTGTGAATGGCCACCTTTGTCTTGATTCCTTCTGTGAAGATGTTTAAATAATAGTTTGAATATTCTTAGTAACATTCCATCCACCCACTTCACAGGTTTGTTGTAAGAATAAAAAGAGATTATAAATGTGAAAAGACTCTTTAGAAGATAAACTTATTCTGCCATTTGACAAATATTTATAGTGTCAGGCACTGGATACGAAACAATGAATAAGAAAAAGTTCTTTTTGCGGGGGGAGAAGGATGTGGTGTGGCAGATAAGCAAATAAGCAAAATGATTTTAGAGAGAGATAGAACAAAAATGAAAGGGGGTTGAGAGGGAGAGTGAATGGAGAGATGACACTGCTTCTCTCTGGAGGGGAACCTTTGAACTGATTGTAATGATGGAAGCATCCAGCCTTGTGAAGATCTGGGTGAGAGACTTTTCCAGGCAGAGGGAAGAGTTACTGCGAAGGCTCTGAGATAGGCTTAGTATGTTTGAGGGACAGAAAGTCGATGTGGGTGAAGAGCAGTGAGCAAGAAGGAGAGTAGGGCGAGAGGGGTAGGCGAGGGTCAGATCATAGAGGGCATTATAGGATGAGGTGAGGAGTATGGATTTTATTGGAGAAGCTCATTGGCAGGTGTGGTAAAGCAGGGAAATGACATGGCAACTGATTTTTTTTTTAAGCATCTCAATATTTTGTGAGATTTTTGTAGATAGTTGAGTCATGGTTACTACTAAAAAGGCTATGTGTCAAGATGTGGTGACTTTAAGGAATTGACAGTTAACTTAATTGTCTGTCATAATTTTCAAATACTCTATCTTAATAAGTATGAGACAAAGGAGAATGTAACTTTGTGATACATTTTAAAGATAAGGACACAGGAGTAAAAACCTGATATTTACTACTAAAAAGGCTATGTGTCAAGATGTGGTGACTTTAAGGAATTGACAGTTAACTTAATTATCTGTCATAATTTTCAAATACTCTATCTTAATAAGTATGAGACAAAGGAGAATGTAACTTTGTGATACATTTTAAAGATAAAAAAGGACACAGGAGTAAAAACCTGATATTTCACTTTTGCAAGCTAACCAAACTGAACATGGATGATAAAGTATAAAACAAATCATTTTACTTACTGTTTCTATGACTTTTCTTTTGATTAGATCTCTTTCTTTCAAATAGGATTGAGGAATAGTACAAGAGCAAAATTCAACAGAGGCCAACAAGAACAGTACCAGAGTAACAGATACCCCAAACCAAGTGCATGTCAGCAAAGGTCATTGAATAACGATACATCAGATTAAAGCGGCAGGGGAAAATTACTTCTACATCATAACCTTTTTGGTGGTATTTGTCAGCTTCCCCATGGTAACTTTGCACCATCATTCTACATTTGTGAAGTAGTAAAATTCAGGTCAAAAAGGAAAGGGGGAATGAGGAAGTCGGTTCATTCCAGTGAACTACATCTTCAGTTCTCAAAAATATGCCCAGCAGCACAAAGCTGAGAAATATTACCTAAACCTAGAAAAGACTTGGTTTAAGTTATGAAGCAAATTAAAATAGAAGTTGAAAGAAGTAGAGCCAATGGAGTTGAAAAAGCCTCTCACTGCAAATCAGTAAATGACCCACATTTTAAAAATGCTTTATATTCAACCTCCACTGCCACAGGCTCCCCCAGAGCTCCACAGTGGAAAGGAACCCATTTCACTTCAGACTTTACAGGGCATGAGGGATGACATTTTCTCCTGTTTTAAACGTTTATTTATCTTTTCATCCTTCAGATCATATAGAAAACAGAAGATGACTCGAACCAAGAAAGGAAGGGAACAGTTTCCAGTGTTGGACCATCTCTTATCTGTAATTCAGTTACCCCCAAATAAAGATACCACTCACCTTTCACAGTCTTGGGCAGCACTTGTAGTGTTACCTCATGTTAGGTAAGGAAATAAACTGTGTTTAACATTGAAAGAGATGCTTGACGTGTTGGTTAAAATATGTTTGCCGTTCCTTGCCATTCTGTGAAAAAGCCATGAATGCCAGTTTGAACTTTTCCCCTTTTGGACAGACCCCTTGAGAAAGAGACAGTGATACCACTAGTCACATGCTTCATAGAGTCGCTCTTCATGACTGTTGACCAAGGGAGCTTTGGAAAAGGTCAGTTACAATCGCCATTTGTTCTCTTCTCTTTCTTTTCTGTCACACCCAAAGTAACTTGTAAACAACATGGAATACCAGAGAGTAGTACTAACATTGCGTCCTGGTGTAACCCCCTGTAAGATTGATCTGGGAAAACAGAGAAGATGGATGTGTTTCACTTGTACTCCATAATGTGGCGAAGGGTCGGGGTGGCCTGAACGTAAGGAAGGTCTGTTATCAGAAGGAAGCCATGGCATAGAAGACTGCTCAGTTTCGAGTCCCAGCCCGCATCTTGTACCCCGTCTCCCACGCCCACCCTGCCTCTGGGATACACCTTATGCTCCAAGCATTCCATTTGGTGACCGAGCAAGACACGTTCTTTTACAACCTTCTGGCTGCCCTTGCAAGTGTTCCCTCTGCCTGGAGACCTTCCTAGGTCTTTTGTCATTCAGTGAACTCTTATTTATTTTTCAAAACTCAACTCAAGCACAACACCTCTAGGGAGGCCTTCATGCCTCTTCCAGGCATAGTTAGGCTGCCCTGCCCAAAATGCCATTTCCTATTGCATGTCTCCCCCACTACCCTGTAATTTAAAAGTAGGCAAGGACAATGTTTTTTGCTAAATACGTGTATAGTAGTCATTCATTTACTTAAATATTAATGTGCTACATTCTGTGTTAGATATTAACCTGATATATGAGAGAATAAAGTAGACTCGCCACATCTCAGGTGCTCAGTGGCCACATGTGGCTAGTGGCTGCCGTGTTGGATTGTGGCTACGTATTGGCTCAAGTATTTTTACCACTGCAGAAAGTTCAGTTGGACAGCACTGGTCTAGAGTCTAGAGCAGGGGCCGGCAAAACCTTACTGTAAAGAACCAGAGAGTAAATATTTTATGTTAACTGGGCCACAGTCCATCTTTGTTTTTTTATTCTTTGTTTTTTTTTTTTTTAAACCCTTTAAAAATGTAAAAAACATTGTTGGCTTGCAGGCTATGTAAAAACAGGCTGCCTACCAGATCTGACTCATGGGCCATAGTTTGTAGACCCCTAGGATAGAAATTAAATGAGTATTAAATTAATATCATTAATTGAATATATTTGGGTAGTTGCCACTGGATATATGACTTCTTATAAATTGTAAAAATGAAATCAACACGAGTTGATTTTATTAGTTGAAATTCTTAGCTTTTGAAAAGTGCAGGTCTACTCTGCTCAAAAGTTCTACTTTTGGCTTTGCCAGTGAGTGGAGCCATTATATTTTGTCCTCATCTCGCTTAATGGAACATAAGTTTTTATTCTCTACTTCTGAGTATATATTGAGAAAGATAGGGCTGGTCGATTAGATCAGTTGGTTAGAGCATGGTGTTATAACACCAAGGTCAAGGGTTTGGATCCCCGTACTGGCCAGCTGCCAAAAAAAAAAAGATATAATACTTGGAAACTTCTTTTTCTGTTTCTTTCTGTTATAGTCAGACATTTGACAGGTAATTCTTTAGAAGGCACAAATTCACTTTAAGAACTTTCTATAAGTAGCAGTGTTAAATAAATGAGATGTTTGATAGTTATTATGTCAAAGAAATAAGTAATGTGGTTTCTCCTGTTTTTCTTCCCTTAGGAAACTTATTTGTTCTTTGCCAAGCTGTAAGTACTCTGCTAAGTTTGGAAGAATCTTCTGAACTTCTTCATTTGGTTCCTGTGGAGCATGTAAAGAATTTAGTATTGTAAGTAAACATATCTTTCTTTTGGCTTAATGATGAATAAAATATGAAAGCTTCTATTTTTGTGAAAGTAAAAGTCATTTTGATCTATTTTATACCTGAGTTGCATTCACATAGTGAAATTTAATATTGATTTAGATCCCTTAATTAAATACATTTTTTGATACGATCTTTAAATACAGATTCTTTATAAAGGGGTATTTTATCGTGTGTGTCGATTAGTCTTGTAAAGTTTAAGGGGTTTATATTGCCAACTATTCCCAATCATAACGCTGCATGTTGTTGACCTTTCATAACTTCTTTAGTGGTTCCAACATACACATTCCCACCACTTTCATATTCTGCCTCAGCATGACATGATCAGCATTTCAGGAAACATTCCTGTGGTCTTTTTTGCTACATACCAAAACAGTCCAGTTTTTTGATTTGTTTATTTTGTTTTTCTTTCTTTGTTTTTTAAGTTTAGTTTAGCCAGCTGCTGATTTTGGTAGTAGGACAGGGCCATTGTTGAGGAGCCGATAACATACTCTTTGTAAAAGTGAGGCCTTTTGAAAACCTGGGAAGTCATTTACTTCTTTTTCTGGAAAAGCTGACTTTCTCATTTACTTTATTCAGTAAATATTTATTTGCTTTTCTCATGTACCAGGCTCTATTCTAGGCACTGGGAAGCATAGTGAATGAAACAGACAAAACTTCCTGCCTTCATGGAGCTTACATTCTAGCAAGAAGAGACACTAGCAGAATGAATAAGTGAAATATATAGCATGTTACAAGGTGCTGAGTGCTTTGTGGAGTAACAGCTGGGTCAGGACAGGGAGAAGGCAAAGGTTAGGGACTGTAGCAGGTTTACATAGGGAAGGCCTCACCAAGAAGGAGACATTTGAGCAGACACCTTAAAGCAGTGAGGGAGTACACCATGAGGATATCTGTGGTGTAGAGTTCTCCCTGGGTTCCAGACCTGGGGATCTCAGGGGTGGGTTCCTGGCTTGAGCAGCAAGGAGGCCATAGTGGCTGAGCGGGGCAAGGGATTGGGCAGTAGGAGAGTAGGACATAGAGGTGGAGGTGGCAGACTCTGTATGGCTATCAGGCACTTGTAGGGCCTTGGCTTTCACTCTGAGTGAAAGGGGAGACTGTGGGAGGGTTTTTAGCAGGGGAGTGACTTAGGCCTAACAGGATCACTCTGGCTGTTGTGTTGAGAAGAGACCGTAGGGGGTGATAAAGCAGACCAGTTAGGAGACTTAAGGCAATAATCCAGAATCTCCTTACAAGGGGAGACTGTGGGAGGGTTTTTAGCAGGGGAGTGACTTAGGCCTAACAGGATCACTCTGGTTGTTGTGTTGAGAAGAGACCGTAGGGGGTGATAAAGCAGACCAGTTAGGAGACTTAAGGCAATAATCCAGAATCTCCTTACCTTTCCAAATCTGGGCAAAGTTAGCATTTCTTTGATTTAAATGAACTTCCTTCAGGGAAGAGTATTTCTTTGACATCACCATATCTACCATATTATGTATTCCCTTTTTTGTGACCATTCTGTTTAAACTTTTCACTTTAGTCTTTGGTATAAATTGTACAATTGTAGGTGGCTGTCGAGGTTTGAAACAAAAGACACACATAGCACGGAGTGGGGTCGGCCAGGTAGGTCTTAGCCTCAGAGGTCCAGAGATCTCTAACAGCAGTGGATTTGTTTTGGAGGGTGGAAGTGTGAACTTCCAGTGTAGTTGCATGACTGTACTCGGTGCACTGGCTAAGCACTAGGTTTCACAGCCAAGATAGCCTAGATTTGAGTCTTACCTTCACCATCTACTAGCTTTGTAGCTTTGGGTAAGTTTGTTAACCTCAACTTCATTATCTCTCCAAAGGAAACAGTAAAAAAAAAAAAAGAAAAACAACAAAAAAGGAAGGGATAGTAGTACTTACCTGGTGGAGATTAAATTGTACAATGCATATGGTAATAGTAATTTTTAATAATTGCATTTATTGTGTCCTTGTTATGTGCCAGTCCCTGTTCTGAATACTTTCTGTACATTATTTAATATTATCCTCACAATAACTCCATGAGATGTAGGTACCATTATCATTACAGACAGGAAACTAAAGTGTCAAAATGAAACCCAGGTCTACACCACCATCTCATGTCTGGATTATTGCATTAGCCTCCTAATGAGTGTCCTTGGCTCCACCCTAGCCTGCTGCTCTCTATTCCATACCCAGCACCGGAAAGATTCTTTTACGTGTAACACAGATCCCGTTCCTCCTTTGCTCACAACTCTCTGGTACAGTGCTTCTCAACTGGGGGCAATTCTGGAGATCTTTTTGGTTGTCACGCTGGGGGAGGGAAGCACTGTTCCTGGCAGCTGGTGGGCAGAGGCTGGAGATGCTGCCAAGCAACCTGTAGTGCACAGGGCAGCCCACAGCAAAGAGTTACCTGGCCCAGACTGTCGGCAGTGGCACTGCTGAGAAACTTTGCTGTGGTGGTATTCCATCTCACCCGGTACAAAATCCAAAGTCCTTGTGTTCCTCAGGGCTTCTTCAGCCGCTCTTCCTTGTTAACTCAGTTCCAGCCACACTGGCCTCTTTGGTGTTCTACAGACAAGCACACGTCAGACTGGGACTTGGCATCGCTGTTACCTCCGCCCAGGTGCTTTTCTTCCAGATATCCTTTGAGCCGTGTCTTCAGTTCCTTTGGGCTCTGCTTTCCATGGCCGCCCCTTATCCGTTGGTGCTCCACTGTGCAGGTCATCCTCTCCCTTCCACCCCACACGCCCGTCTCTCTCCAGCCTCCTTCCCTGATCTTCTTTTCTCCGTGGTTTATCTATTGCTGGCTTATCTATTGATTGGCTGGTTTATCTATTGATCGGCTACCTTCTACCAGGATGTGAGTTCCAGAAAGATAGGGAC